TTGTTTGCAGCCCAACAGTGAAAAAGAAATTCTTGGCAACTCTTGTTTCGTCTCCCTCTCGTGCAATGTGCATGACTGGAAAGATCAGCTAGTAGACATGTCCTGAAGTTAGTTCTGCTATGACATCAACCTGTTGCTTCTTTATGCCTTCCCTGTGTCATCTCTGAAACTGCCCCGGGAGTGTAGCGCGAGGTCCGTGCCAAGCAAGCCTAAAGGGTTCACACGAACTGCGACTGCACTGCATATTCTGCCCGACAGACACGCCCGCCGCAAACAGCTACGCACACTCGACCTTTCCCTCACCCGCCGCAAGACAGGCAGCAAAAGCCCGCGACACGTCCCGTATAATCGCCCGGTGCGATTGCGACAGCCCCACCTTCACCTCATCCCGCCCACCACCAATCGCCTTAAATTACCACACGACCCGCTGCCATCGTCTTTGGAGCCTCTTTACCGCCCCATTACCACATAATCTCCCTAAAATCCCCAAACAAAACCTCCACAATGGCCGAAGTTGCATCAGCATCGCACGCCAACCAGCAGGTGCCGCTGGACACGATCCCCATCTCGCCTACTGAGAACTCAGGCGAGGGCCAGGAACAATCCTCCACCACCAACTCCGGCGGCGAGGGCGAGATCCGCACCGTCTTCCACGACCCCGAGAACTTCAACGTCAAGCACCCGCTTATGAACACATGGACGCTATGGTTCACCAAGCCCCCGAGCGGCAAGGTACGACAATGTCTCGCCTCGCCTATGGCTTGTTCCATGCTAACAGGTGCAGGGCGACAACTGGGCCGAGCTGCTGAAGGAAGTCATCTCGTTTGATTCGGTCGAGGAGTTCTGGGGCATCTACGTAAGTTGGCTGCAGAGCAAGCGCAACCCGCAAGACTAACACTGCGCAGAACAACATCACCCCCACATCCGACCTCGCGCTCAAGTCCGACTACCACCTCTTCAAGAAAGGCATCAAGCCCGAGTGGGAAGACCCGCAGAACAAGCACGGCGGCAAATGGGCCTTCCAGTTCAGGGAGAAGAAGTCGGTCAACATCGATGCGCTCTGGCTCCATGTCATGCTCGCCGCCATCGGCGAGAACCTCGAGGATGAGGACGACAACGAGGTCATGGGTGTCGTCGTTAACGTGAGGCGAGGCTTCTACCGTATCGGTCTGTGGACACGCACCGTCGGCCGCGCCATCCCCGGTGATGCAGGCAAGGCCAGGACTCAGGAGAAGGGTAAGGAGATTCTACTGAAGATCGGAAAGCGGTTCAAGCAGGCCCTCCAGCTGAAGGAGAACGACGTTGTCGAGTTCTCTGGCCACACCGAGGCTGCCAACGCGGGCAGCACTCGTGCGAAGGCCAAGTTCAGCGTCTAAAAGGTTCCACCACACATCCAAGTCTGCCACACGATGCTTGCTACCTGCAACATCCTCCGTCGTCTTCGGACACACGGCGCACTCCACCCCTGGGCTGCATTTTCTCGATTTATTCCCTGTTTAGTCTAAAAGTATCTCACTTAACTGTTCATGATACACGGACTGGATTTCTAGCATGGCGTCTGCATGGGCGGCGAAGGGTGACACTGGGTTCTCCACATGAATCATACGGCCATGGCGGGTCTGCCTCGAACGGGTGGGGTTCTGAGCTTGTATAGACTAGCTCTCTTATCTAGCATATCTACGAATGAGAGTGAACATGTATTTGAAAAGCAATTATTTGCAGGCATCATGTCCCAAACTGCTACAGGACGAATGCAGAATCAATGCTCACGCACAAGTGACTGCCTGTCAAGGCGCTCGCATGGTCTTAGCGTGGTGACGTCGGATGTGGCGGTGCAGCATTTTCACGGCGGGCAAGTGTAGCCCGCCGACGCGCGCCCAACCAACGCATATGCTCTTGATCTCTCCCACCACGCACCCAAGGTCACTCACATTCGTAACCCACATTCGTAACCATGGTCGTTGAGACTGCATACTACGACGCCTTAGGCGTGCCGCCCACCGCAACGGAACTCGAAATCAAGAAGGCGTACCGCAAGCTCGCTATTAAACTTCACCCCGGTACATTGCGCAACGACTCTCCTCTAAGGCCCGCTGACTGATTCTGGCGTAGACAAAAACCCCGGTGACGAGACAGCACACGCGAAGTTCCAAGAAGTACGTTTATCACCAAACTAGAGTGTTTGGCGAGCCTATTCGTTGTTAAAAGAGGACTGCGGGGCTCACGGAAATACAGATTGGCGAGGCGTACCAAATACTCAGCGACGACCAGCTGCGCGCAGCATACGACAAATATGGCAAGGAGGGCGCGATGCCTAGCAGTGGATTCGGTATGGACAACATTTGGAGTAACGGTTGTAGGACACGCCGCTGACAACACAACAGAGGACCCATCCGAGTTCTTCACCATGATCTTTGGTGGAGAGGCCTTCGTCGACTGGTAGGTCATACCTTATGGCTCTCAGTAGCGAGATCTATACTAGATTGAGAGAGCTGACGCGCGCAGGATCGGTGAGATCTCGTTGATGAAGGACCTGACCAAGACCATGGAAATCTCTCAACGTGAGATGGAAGAGGAAGCAGCCGCCCAAGCAGAAGCTGAGAAGGTCGAAGCCGAGAAGAACCCAGCAGCTGCCGCAGCTGGTACTACCCCAACCACTGGCACCACAGAGACCGCTGCCCCAAGTACTGCCGCTCAGGCCAAGGAAGCCGAAGCGGCAGCAGAGCGCGCAGCAGCACAGCCAGCAGATGCACCGCCCGTGTATGCCGAAGCACCTCCAGTATACGCTGAGAGCGCCGCCGAGTCGTCTACCGCACCCAGGGCGGCATCGCCCCCATCCCGAACGAGCACGCCGAAAACACAAGGCATACCAATCCGCGCAGCTATCATGGACAAGTCAGAGGAAGACGCACGTATGGAGGCACAAGGCATGACCGATGCGGAGAAGGAGTTACGAGAGAAGCAGAAGAAGAAGGCTGGTCTTACCAAGGAGCAGCGGGAAGAGCTCGCGGCATACGAGATGGAGCGTAAAAAGATTCGCGACGAACGTGTGTCAAGCCTCGCCAAGAAGCTCGTCGACCGCATCTCAGTGTGGACTGAAACCGACAAGGCGACCGATGTCACCGCTGCCTTCAAGGAGAAGATTCACCTTGAGATCGAGAACCTCAAGATGGAGTCATTTGGTCTTGAAATCCTTCACGCCATCGGTGCCACATACATCATGAAGGCCTCCTCGTTCCTAAAGTCACAAAAGTTCCTCGGAATTTCAGGCTTCTTCTCACGCATCAAAGACAAGGGAACGCTCGTCAAGGACACGTGGTCCACTATGAGTGCTGCCATAGACGCTCAGCTTACCATGGAAGAAATGGCCAAGCTAGAGGAGCAAGGCGGCGAGGCATGGACAGACGAGAAGAAGGCTGAGTACGAGAAGAGGGTTACTGGCAAGATTCTTGCCGCAGCCTGGAGGGGAAGCAAGTTCGAGATTCAGAGCGTTCTGCGAGACGTGTGCGATACCGTCCTTAATGATAAGAAGATTAAGCTGGAGAAGCGAGTGGAGCGAGCACACGCTCTGATGATCATCGGAGAGATGTTCCAGAAGGTATGTCCAACTCTTGTCACCTCAAACAAATGTGTGCTAACTAGATACAGGCTGAGCGCGATCCCGAAGAAGAAGGTGACTTCATGGCCTTTGAACAACTCATGGCCGAAGCCGCCGCTAAGAAGGATGCCAAAGCCGATAAGCATCACCACCACCACGACAAGAAAGAGAAGGAAAAGAAGAAGGAAAAGGCATGAGAGTAAAAAATCACCTCTGCACTTTTCCCCGCAACTTTGCATACCCTCTCCTTCTTTTTCTTTCGGTGTTCTTGATATCCATAGATTCGTTTCTTTCCAGGGTGGAAATTGGGGCTTGCTAGAGACGTGCATTGCGTGTCCACTGACGTTTGCGAGACGTTTTGTGGATGATTATGTAGCATGTTTGGCGATGGTTAGCGTGCGCGTGGATGGACTGATGGGGATAAGAGTAGGGTTGGCTTGAGTGGGCAGCAAGCTTAGGTCGGGCTTTGAACGTATACGATGCTGTTCTGTCCACGTATTGGTGTGTTAATCATTTGAAATGCGATCAACAGCTATGCTCCCTGTCTTGCATCCGCTCACGACTCCATTTACGTCCCTGTGAAGGTAGACCCTATACACTAGAAAGGTTTGCACTGCCTCTATAGCATCTTTCTAGTGCGACTTCCCGTGCACATGTGCCTGCTGCGTAGCCTTTGCGCTGGAACAGATTGGTCTGGAACGATGACGTAGCGATACGATCCGGTCGCTCCACCCATCTCGTCCCACATGGGCACATCAGAAGTCCAGCACTGCACTGCACTCGAGTTGATCATCATCTGGTTTACATCAATGCGATAGGCGTTATCGCACATTCAATTTTTGCTACTTTGGGGGACCCTGCCAAGTCCCCTACAAGATACATGCAGTAATAGTGCACCAAAAACTTTCGGTCCCAAGTCTCGATCATGCAAACTAGCATGACCCCACGAAACAACTATTTTTAGGCTTCGGCTCTAGACAGAAGCCCAGATCGTATTGCACCTCGCACGATGATGCCAGCAGTGCTCAAAGCTTCTGACGCGGACTGTTTCTTTGACGGCCACAGACAGTGTTTGAGGCCCACAGGTTAGCGGCGGGAATGACGTCGTTTCGGCGGCGACGAGCGGAAGAAAGAGTGTTCTAGCACCCTGATGCGCCTTCCCAACAAAGAGCATCTGGGGGATCGTTACGCGTCCGGAGTTTATTGGGAGGGTCTGGTCCTTGCTGCGTGGATCTAATTAGGCTTTCTCTTGTGAACATTATTCCCTGGGTGACTTTTCTTTTCTCTTGTCCAACCACACCACGACCCTTTTTCTCATTCGCTGCATTTTCGGGTTCTTGGGACCGAACATTACAGCGACTTCTACTGAGTACATTCGTTTGAAGAGGAGGGAAGTTCCAATATGGATGTTTGGAGGCGACAGAATGGCGAGAGTGGGACTGATAAGTTTCTCGACTTGATTGCGGATCCGTTCCAAGGCGAAGTACGTATAGATCGACGACATACCATATGTTTACCGTCGCGCATACGCATACTGACTATTGCGTAGATCCAAGAGAACTCGATTTACGCCGCTATTGTCTATTCCTTCGTTATTTCCGGTCTGCTGGTCGTGGTGTTCTGCTTCCTTCGACCCCGCAACTCGCGAGTTTACGCGCCACGAGCGAAACATGCCGATGAGAAACACCGACCGAAGCCTTTGGACAAGAAGCCATTAAGTTGGTTGTCTGCGGTTAGGGATGTGAAAGAGCAGGAGTTGGTGGACACCATTGGTCTGGATGCGGTCGTGTTTCTACGGTTCCTTCGAATGCTCCGGAACATCTTCATCGTGTTGACGGCTGTTGGTTGTGGCATCCTGATACCGGTCAATGTTGTGGGGGGTTCGCCGCTGTACAAGCAGTGGAAGGAGATACCGACATTGATGAAGTTCACACCGCAGTATATCTTTGGAAGGAAGTTTTGGGCGTACGTTGTGGTGGCGTATATCATCCAGGGGACTGTTTGCTTCTTCCTTTGGTGGAACTACAGGGCCGTTCTGAAGCTTAGGCGCGCGTATTTCAATACCCAGGAATACAAGTCCAGTTTGCATTCGCGAACGCTACTAGTAAGTATCGCTAATACATTCCAGGGATCAAGCTGACATCAGATAGCTAACACACGTTCCCGAATCATCGCGGACCGACGCTGGGCTTGTCGAGCTTGTCGAACAGGCGAAGCCTATCGATAGTATACCCCGGACAGTTATTGGACGCAATGTCAAGGATTTGCCCAAGCTAATTGAGGCGCATGATGATGCTGTCCGCCTGCTCGAGAAGCATTTGGCTGAGTACCTAAGTAACCCGAATAAGCTACCCGCCAAGCGCCCGACGTGCAAGGCTATGAAAGACGATCAGGCAGTCCATGGCAAAGGAAAACTAGATGCGATCGATTACCTCACGGACCGAATATCCAGGCTGGAGACGACGATCAAGGAAGTGCGGGAGGGTGTCGATATGCGAAACCCGATGCCATATGGATTCGCATCCTACGCACACATCGAGGATGCGCATGCAGTTGCGTATGCGACGAAGAAGAAGGGCCCCGCTGGCTGCGATGTTTACCTTGCGCCCAAACCCCACGACCTGCTCTGGCAGAATCTCCCGATGACACGGAGAACTCGCAGGATACGTGCCTTCTGGGACGGTCTTTGGGTTGTCTTGTTCACCATCGCCTTTGTCGTGCCCAACATCTTGACTTCGGTTTTCCTGTCAGACTTCTCCCACTTGGGACTCGTTTGGCCAGCGTTCATGACGAATCTCCAAGCTCATCCCACTGGCTGGGCGATTGCGCAGGGTATCTTGGCTCCTTTGGTACAAACTCTAATGTATATGGGAGTACCCGTGGTGGTTAGTATAGCCGCGAACCTTACTTGACCTGTAAGCTGACATGATATCCCCAATTTTAGTTTCGACGACTGTTCACGCACTCTGGAGATGTATCGAAGACATCCAGAGAACGCCATGTCACTGCTCGCCTCTATTCTTTCTTTGTGTTCAACAACCTCCTTGTCTTTTCCGTATTCGGTTCGGCCTGGCGGTTCGTGGCTGCGGTCATTGCTGCCCAGGATCAAGGCGTGTGGGAGGCCATCCAGGACGGTCATCTGTTCACCAAGGTTATGACTGGCTTGTGTAATGTGTCTACATTCTGGCTTACCTGGCAAATGCAACGCAACCTCGGTGCTGCTATCGATCTCTCACAAGCTTGGATATTCGCTTGGTCCTGGATTCAGCGTACCTTCTTCTCACCAACTCCGCGGGAGCTCATCGAACTCAGTGCACCGCAACCATTCCCGTATGCCGACTACTACAACAACTACCTCTTCGTATCGACGGTTGGTCTCTGCATGGGCACACTACAGCCTATCATCTTCCCGGTGACAGCCTTTTATATTGCCATGGATTCCGTCTTCAAGAAGTATCTGCTTCAGTACGTTTTCATCACCAAAACCGAGTCGGGCGGTAGATTCTGGAAGCTCCTGGTCAATCGCATGCTTTTCGCGGTTTGTTTCGCAAACGCGGTCATCGCGTTGGTTGTTGGAGCAAACGGTGTCGGGTCGATCGATTTCGACAATGTTCAAGTGAGGACTGGTAACATGCTCTACGCAATGATTCCATTGCCGTTCTTACTATTCGGCTTCAAGTGGTACTGCAGGCGAGCTTTCGACGACAAACTGCTGTATTACTCAACGCTCCCCTATTCCGATGTCGAAGGCTCTCATTCCGTGGATCACCCGAAATCAAAGAAGAGCACCAAGGTCTCGTCCCGCTATGGTCATCCCGCGCTCTACAAGAAGCTGCTTACGCCAATGGTCCACGCAAAGTCTCAGCACCTCCTGAAAGAGGTATACGGGCACCGTTCAAATGCTGATCGTGACATCTTCGATGCACCTCACCGCCGTTCGACCGACCGTGCCATGCCATCCACACCAGGCTACGATCGATTCGGCGACTACTTCATGACCGAAATGGACACTCACCAGCCAGGCAAGCATGCGACTGGTGGAACGGAGATGCCGCACATGGAAGTGGTCACCGAGTCAGAGCTCGACTTTGAGAACTTCAAGAAGCGTGCGGAGTTCCGTGAGCAATTTGGAGGTGACGGGGAGCTATACGGCCGACCCGAGGACATGTCAAGGCCTGGCACACCATCTACGTTCACAACGCTCACCGAAATGGGTCCGTATGGACGCCGGGACTCACCGTCAGGGTCGAGGGCGTCAAGTCGAACAAGACTAGGAGATAAGGAGGAGCTAGAACAGGGGACAACATACGCTAAGGGATACCAGAAGACGCCGCGACCTGAGGAAGGCTTCGAAGAAGTTGGCATCGATGTCGACATTCCGGCGACGCCGTTTGATGCTGACGCCGTACTGCACGGTACGACTAGCCGCCAGCCACTTGTCAGTGCGGACGAAAGGGATGGTGGCGTGGAATATTTCAACCGTGGACCTCAAGACGAGGATACGAGTTATGAGCGCTTTAGACATGTTGGATGATACTTGGTAGGATAGACAAAACACTAGATCTAATCATAATGTTTGTATAACTATATGAATGGTTCCAAGATACAATGCAGTGTGATGTCAATCTATTCTTCCGAGAAACATGCAGAGACTGGCTTCCATGATGCTTCCAGTTGCATCCTGTCCCGATCCACTCACCCTGTGGTGGGTAAGCACTGAATCTGGATCCGATGGTATGTCACCGGTCACTTCGTCACCATCCCTCCCACGTGGACAACAAGACCGATGTGAGACCTAGTGAGTTTACCTCCCCGAGCAAGGAGAAAGCCACCGGCAACAGTAATGCTGAGTACATGATTGGTACACGTGAGAAGCAACAACCATCCAAACAATGAGCTTCGTCAGCACAAGATCCAGACAAAGAGCGTCTAAGCCCACGCCGTGGAACACAACACGACGTTAGTAAGGCCGACATGCCAAGAGCGGGAAGGCAGCCCGAGGGGGACACGGGATGAGCAGGAGCATTGGCGACAGTACGACATAATACTCCGCCTCCGCCCACCCAAAGCTGGGCACACAAGTATACAAGACACCACGACGCTGCCTATGCGACAACAAGACCGACCAAGACCGTCGCATGAGAGGAGAAGGCGCCTCGCAAGCATAAGCCCGAATGTGACGGACCACGTGGAATCACTTGGCAGGGTTCTTGTGAGAAAGCAGTCGACAAAGCGCGACGTTCCGACGATAAGACCGATAGTCAGGTCATTTTCTACAGTACCTCGTCGACGAGAATCTGAATATAGTGCCAAGATCGGCATGGTGATGCTGGGCGTGGTGTTGCAAGCAGCAGCGCTATAGGGTTGGCTGGTCACTGGGTTTCCGCGCGGCTCGCCGTTACAGCTCAGGGCAGGGAAGGGGGAGGCTTGCGTGCTTGGAATGCGGAGATTTCAAGGTTGCGAGTCGGACCGCGTCGTTTGGGTCAACGGCCGATTGTCGAGTGGGGTGAACGGCGGCGATCTTTGCTCCTTGCACGTGTACATGGTGGTGATCTTGGTAGTCGGGAAAGTAAGACGGTTAGTTGGGGTGTGTGGGAAGTCGCAAGTGGTATGACTGTGATGGAATGATGATGGTGGTTGTGGCTATTGCTCAGGCTCACGTGGCGCGCAGGCTTACCGCGGCCGGTTACCTACCGTATCCGTATCCGGTGCCATGGGCGAGCATTTCTGTTCACCATCAAGCAATATCACCTCCATACGCGCCATCATCACGGCTTGGCGTCCGCGTACGCCGTGTACTATGTATCTTTGCCTGCCAAGCCCCTCAAGATATGCCTCACGACAGCATCTAGATGTTGGTTTTCGGCCTGGAGGCGCAACGAGAAACGCATTGGAGACTCGCCTTCCTTTCTTCATTGCCTCATTTCGAGTTAGCCACGCACTCACGATGACCCCACAGTTTCACAAGTGGACTGATCTCGTGAGTGCAAAGGAGCATGTGGGCGAACGCTTGATCGGTTTGATCACAACCTGATACAGTAGCAGCGGTGTGCGACCTATCGCATCGACGACGACTTTCGCTCTTGGTTCGGCCACTTGGAAACCATGGATAAAATACACCAGGCTGCGCATCCCTGTCGCACGTCGTAAAGCAGAGCCTCGAATATGCCTGGAGGGCTTCGCCAAGCGACGTGTCCAGAAAGCGCGCTTTCTGCAAGCGTTTCAGCTCCTTCGGGGTAATTTGCTGCTCAGTACCATCATGTGGCGAAGCCAGGTTCGACGGCTTTTCGGCTGCCTTGCTTTGCAGTGCTTGGGGTTATTTTGGAGAAATCACACGATTCTTGGACTTGGCGCGCGACAATGTGGAGAAAGTTCTTGGACGAAGGATTGGAGTAAGGTGGTTATGTCGACTAATTATTTCAGGGTTTCTTGCGCAATCGGGACAACGGCGCATCAGCATCATTCGGCACTGTACCGATGAACCTTCTTTTTGGCACAGATCTCGTGGCTTTGCTATCTGTCATCTCAGAGCACGTCCAACTTACCCGTCAGCATAGGGTCCAACATGGACCTTGCTCGCTTCCGACAGGCAGGACGGCTGTCAACGTCTCAGCATACCAAGCAAATGTCACAAGTCTTGACCCCTGTTTAGCCCCTCAATATCGTTCTGGGCGACTCCTTAACCACATACTCAACTTGGCACCTACCTGTAATGGAAATTTCCCGCTCCTTCCTCGCATGTCTTGTATACACTGGCCAAGAAACGGGGTTCTGGAGGTCTCTTGACGTATGACTTGGTTTTCTTGGCCCTGTGCGTCTAGTTTGCGGAGGATTTTCGTTGCAAGGTAGAGACATGCGACCGGCCGGAACGAGTTTGAGCGAGGAGCGTTTTTGTACAGCATTGCTCATGGATTGTAGGTATATCTTGTGCTTAGCTCTGCATCTCAAGCCTTCTAGTTGACACTCTAGCCGCCTTTTCCGTTCTTCCATCTTGTTCGTTCTAATACGGTCCGTTTTTGCCGCCGAACTCCTCCTTGTACCTACTTTCTCTTTGGCTCAGCCTCCAGGTGTTCGGGCTTATTCGGGTCTTGTCCTTCTCTTGCCTTTCTTGTAATACGACTAGGTTGATCCTGTCTTGCTCTTATACTCCACATTCGTTCGTGTTGCACGGTCGATATCAGCATCCGCTACCAAGGCATCTTGCGCGTACTCTTGTCTAATCTCTTGTACTGAGGCATACACGATCTTGTCTTTTTGCTTAAGAACGACCCGTCCCGCAGGGTGTTTTGGAAACATCAGCAGCAGCCTTTCACATTCCTTCAGTGTTCTTTTTACAGCACCCTTCACTCTTTACATTTCAGTCCAGTACATCGCTCATCATGCTTTTCTCCGCACTCCTCCTTGCATCGACCGCATCCGCGACCTGCCTTCACGGCCTCTCCAAGTTCAAGCGCGCAGACACCGTTGAGGTCAACACCTTTGGTTATGGACCCATGAACGGACCCTTTAACTGGGCTTCGCTTGCTCCTGAGAACGAAGCATGCAAGTCTGGCACGAACCAGTCTCCCATAAACATTGGTATGTCTCTCTAGTTCTCAATTGCCCAAAGAACTTCCACTAATACCCTCACCAGATGCCACCATCACCGCCGCCTCCGGCCGCCCCGTCCTCGACATCCCCGACGCGGAAGTAATCTTCGAGAACCTCGGAACGACCATCGAAGTCGTCGTCAATGGTACAACCAGCTACGCGGGCACCAACTTCCGCCTCGTCCAATTCCACATGCACACCCCCTCGGAGCACCACATCAACGACGAATACTTCCCCTTGGAGATCCACATGGTGCACCAGGGTGTCGACAACGAAAGCCAACTCGCCGTCATCGCGCTCATGTTCGAGATCTCCTCCGGCGACTCCGCTTCCATGATCCAATCGCTGTCTTCCTCGCTTGCCGACATCGCCACCCCCGGCACCAAGACCACAATCTCCTCCGGCATCGACTTTACCGACGTGGTTGAGACGCTCAAGACCTCTGATATCCAGACGTACAGCGGTTCGCTTACCACCCCTCCTTGCGCCGAGGGCGTCACTTTCCTCATTGTCAAGGACCCTCTTCCCGTCTCTGTTGAGGACTTCAACGCTATCAAGAAGATTGTCAAGTTCAACTCCCGTTTCATTCAGAACACCCTCGGTGGAGAGAACATCTTGGAGATTGGTGCATCTGCCGGTAACACTTCGATGCCTCCTGCTCAGAACGCTACGCCTCGTGCCAACGTTGAGATCAATGCTGACCTGGGTCTCGTTGACGCAAAGGTACGCTCTTCCCTCCCTGCCATGCTTTTGTCAGATCGCATATACTAATTCGTTGCTCAGGTCACCGTCGGTACTCCTATCCAGAGGCGTGTACGCAAGTACTAAATGTAATGTTCCTTTCTCATTAGAAGATCTTGTTGCATGGTTGCGGAGTGAGTGGTGTTGTAGTGAGTTGTGGACAACTCAGATTTCATTTCATCTTTGATTATTTCGCATTTACACAGAGAGTGGTGGGGTGATACCAGCTTTCCTTTTTCTTTAGTCTACTAGATCATGATTTAGATAAGACTTATTACAGCAATGTAACATTTCCTGCTGCAAATTCTTCCCTCTTCGCGACTTGTGAGCATTTGCTAAGTGTGCTCTCTTTGATCGATCGATCGATATTCGTATAAACATTATCAGACATGTCATTGACATTGCTTTGTTGAATGACGGACGGCCGCGATGAACCCTGCAGCAAGAGTGAAACAGAGTCACCCCGGGGGAAAATGAGCACCTATCTAAACTTGACAATCTAGAAGGTCGCGTTGCGTCATGATCTTACTAACTTTCATTTCAATACTGATCTAGACTGTAATGCACTTGTTCAGTCTCTTCCTTGAACAAGATGTAAACATTCTGGTCTAGATTATTGGACGCGCGTTCCATTGCACGAGAAGTCAAGAAGACGGCATCGACGCGTGCAAGGAAGAAGATGTTAAAATTGTAATCTGACTTTAAGCTATCCTGTTTTGCCAACTCCAGCAATGCAATGAACAAATCCAAAAGATCCCACTGTGCTCTGCCATGCGCAGATCCCACTCGCTGGGCAGTCTCGCGCAAACCCATACTACAGCTGCCTATCTTACACTGCCGACTACCGTCTACGTTCCTAATCGTAGCCAGGATCGCCACTAGGTGCCGGCGTCGCAGCATCCCAACCGCCAGGTGTGGGCGCCGCAATACCATATCCACCACGCGACGTGTCACCAGGAGTAGGCGCAGCGTAGTTGCCTGGAGTAGGAGCATCCATGGGCGGGCCACCAGGCGTAGGCGCAGAGTAAGCACCATAGCCACCTGGGGTAGGAGCAGCGTAAGCGCCAGGTGTTGGGGCGTTGTAAGCACCAGGCGTAGGAGCAGAGAGACCGCCAGACTTTGAAGCGGTGTTTCCGGATGATCCACCCCAACCAGGTGTGCGGCCGCCAGAGTTGAAGCCACCGTACGAGGTACGGTTTCCAT